TTTTGATCCCGCTTTTGATTGCCTTGTATGAGACGATGAACTTACGAGCAGCGCGGCGAAGGCTTGTGGATATGTTGTTGGCTCGGGCGATGCGTAGCGGCCAGACCGACCTCGAGCGATTGGCAGCGCGGCTGGAAGTGTTTCCGAATGCGGGCCGGCTTCGAAACATAGCAATGCTTGCTTTCCCAACAGTTATCTCTAAGCGGGTTTTGGCACAGCAGCGGCTGCAGTTCTTGTACAGTGGTTAGCCAGTGCGTCTGGATGGCAAGTACAAGAAGGCCAAATTCATAGCCCGCTATCTTCCAAGGGCAAGGCGCGGAAAGCGCAGAGTCCGACCATTCACTGGCCTCAGTTTATTTTGCGGCGCAGATGGCTCGCTGTTAGGACCCGTGGCCCCTTCGAAGGGCGAATCGCGGCGTGACATGGGGGCTCTTCTGAAGCCACTGCTTCGGCGATTGGTGGCAGAGCGATCACAGGCAGGAGTGTCACTGGGAGAAGCACTCCCTACATTCATCAGTACGGACTCATATGGTCAGCGCCGCCGCCTGCACAGACAGCTCACGCGCGATGTGTCTGCGCAGTTAAGATTGCAACCCATGGGTGCGACGCCGCGTGGTGGACGAGTGAAGTGCGAGTGCTGGACGAAGCTAACAGTCCGAGTGGTGACTTGATGACAGTGGCCGGCGAATCATACCACAACGTCACCAAACTCCGTCCTCTCGTGTCCTCATGGGTTGCAGATGCTGTCTGTTTTGTGAAGGACCACAGCGATATGCTGCGCCGGCTCAGTGCTAAGAGTCGCCCTCGGCGAGTCGCAACCGTTGAGACTCCAACTCTTGGCGACGTGTGAAGATGCTGCCTCGCCAGTTTCTCAATGTCTTGCGTGGCAGCCCCTCCGCGCAACTGGCTGAGTTGGACAAGTTTCTGGGCTCAGAGGCAGTGCGCCGCGCCGAGGGCGCGTGGCAGGTAGTCTTTGGCTTGCAACCTCCACGGGGCGTTCTTACACGCCTGCGTCGAATAATCGGCGCGCAGACGCCTCAGTCCACGGGCTGTTGGAACAGTCGAAGTCTTGCAGCGTCCAAGCGAGAGGTGAGGAGGATGAGGAGCTGGTGTTCTGTAGGAAGACGCCTCCACAGGAAACGCCGTGGAATTCTTCGAGCGGAAACAGATGCGCCAGTCGAGGGGGCGCCAGACCGCGTGGACATCCAAGGTGGCATCCCACTACCGACGCCTCCTGAAGCCTGTGTACCTCGAAGGGTTGATCAAGGTGCGGCGCTGCGCCTTGGCCTTGCATTTCGCGGGCCTGCCCGTGCACTCAGGCACAATACCTGCGGGGCGTCAGCCTCAGCGGCTCCAGAACAGCAGCTATTGGCCGCCTCAGACGCGGCAGGTGACAGGGCCAATGTTCCGCCTTCTCTCCGACACGTGTTTCTTGAGATTCCAGTGGGCCCATTGCAACGAGCCCTCAGCGCGGAGCTGGACTCGCGGTGATGTTTTTCCCCAACAGAGGGCCTTTGAAATGCTTGCCATGTTGGAGGCCGCGTGGGGCGGCTTTGCAACTCCTATAGAGCAGGAGCTCGCCGATGCCTTTCCAGACGCCCGGCGTAGGAGAACGGCTGAGGGCTCGGGGAGGCCAGCCGCGGCGCGAGGCTGCGAGGTTTCTGCGACGCCGCCAGGGCATTGTTTTTTCCAGCCCGTGGCGTAAGGCCGCGAGATTACTCGTTAGCGCCGTGGCGTGATGCCGCGAGATTGTTCGCAGGTTAGTGCCGCGGCGCGATGCCGCGAGATTGTTCGCAGGTTAGTTCCGCAGCGCAATGCCGCGAGATCGCCCGCAGGTTAGCGCCGGGTGCCGGGGGGCCAAGAACGACGAGGCACCGAGGCCGACGAGAAACAACGCATCGACGAGGCCGACGCCGAGGCCCCCGCCGCCGCTCTGTCGCTCCGCGGAGGGGCCTCCGTCCACAGGGCCGACGCCCGCAGGCAACCAGCGCGCACTGAGGCTCGCTACGAGCGACCTGCGACGTAAAGAAGCTTGTGCGATCAAGGCTCCACAGGGCGAGCGGCGACAAACAAGGCACTCAATATCAAGGCTTTCAAGGGCGAGCGGTAGCGAATGAAGCTCTTACCGCCGAAGCTCTCGAGAGCGAAGGGTGCCGCGAACAATCTCGGGCCATCTCTGTATTCACTGGTTGCCCATTGTTCTTCGGCGGGCCCTCCCGAGAACCACAGATAACCAGAGAACGCAGTGGCTCCCTCAGAGCGGCCTTTGACGCAAACAAGCTGATACGACGAAGGCTCCCAAGAGCGAAGAGTGCCATGAACCATCTCGGGCCTTCTCTGTGTTCACTGGTTGCCCGTGGTTCTTCGGCGGGGCGACCCCCCGAGGAAACGCAGGCAACCAATGAGCACAGCGGCTCTCCAAGAGCGACCTGATACGGAAACGAGCTGATACTACCGAGGTTTCCAAGGGCGAACGGTGGCAAACAAGGCCTTCACATCGAGGATAACAAAGGCGAGCGGCAACCTCGCAAGCCGTTAACATCCAGGCTCTCAAGAGCGAGAGGGCCCATGAACCATCCCGGCCCATCTCTGTGTTCACTGGTTGCCTGAGGTTCTCCCGAGGGGCGATTCCCCGAAGACCCACGGGCAACCAGTGAACGCAGTGGCTGCCTCAGAGCGACCTTTCATGTAAATTAACTGATATGACCTAGGCTCCCAAAAGCGAGCGGTGACAAAAAAAGGCCCCTAACATCAAGGCTCCCAGGGGCGAGCGGGGAAGGACGGAGGACGGAGGGAAGAGGACGGAGGAAAACGGAGGACGAAGGACAGAGGACGGAGGCAGGACGGAGGGAGGACGGAGGGTCCCGGACGTCCCCAGACGAGCCCCCGATCCTCTCTGGGGGGGCATGCGGGTCCGAGTGCAAGTTTCTCCGCCGACTCTATTCGCGGCAATCGTGGAAGTTATCCATTGGTTCAGTGCGAGTTTGGATTCGCAATGCGTGAGCACCTGCGCGGCGACGTTCGACGACGACGACCAGTACGACGACATTCGACGACGTTCGACGCCGAGTGCGACGACGCACGACGACCTACAACGACGCAGCGCGGCAGGCTGACTTCTGCCGATTTTGGCCGACTTATTCTCCGGTCCACCCGATGCTGGGGCCGCGTGTATTGCTGCGGCGTGCCAGGCTCAAGCTTCCTCTGAGGACGTCCCGTTCCCTCCCGGCTACCCTGCTACCCCGCTACCTCGCTACCCCGCTACCCAGCTACCCGGCTACCCGGCTACTCGGCGACCTTGTTATCCTGCTACCCTCCTACCCTGCTGCCCTGCTGCCCTGCTGCTCTGATACCTTGCTCGGCAACGAGGCCGTAGCAGGGCAGCAGGGTAGCAGGGTAGCGGATCGATTTCGCACCACCCTGCTGCCCTGCCACCCTGCTACCCTGCTACATTGCTCGGCGAGGCCTCAGCGAGGTAGGATGGTAGCAGGGTTACACAGCAGAGTAGCGAGGTAGCAGAGTAGCAGGGTAACGAATCGATGTTTTACTTCCGTGGGTGACACTCTGCGTATTATTCTGTTTCTCGTTCACAATTCCTTGGGAAATTCTTCGCCTGGGTCATCATCTTCTGCGGGAAAAATGGTTTCCTTAGTTTCCCCTTAGTTGAATCTGACCCCAGAAGTCTGACCTTCATTAGCAAGCGAATGAGGATTTCTTGTCTGCAGTCAAGACGCTGAAATCAGGAGCACTTTGAGTTCGGAAGGGGTTCGATGTTCCGTAGGCCCTTTCCATGGCTGTTTTCTAGTTTTCCTCGTCCACGCAGGCGCTTTGGGGCCAGCAAGGGGCGTCGTTCCTTAATTAGCGTTCCTTGTGGTAGCAGCCTGACTGTACTCTTTGTGGTTCTCTTCCTGCGGGCGAGAAGCGGGTGCGACCCTTGTCGCGAGCCCAGACCCCCGACGCTGTGATATATTGTTTCACAACGTGGACCCCGAGAGGTCTGGACACCTTCCCTGCGGCCGATTTGTCATCCCGAGTCGTTTTGTGACGGTCCGGGCGCCCGGCGAGGGCCCCTCGAGGCCGAACGTCGGCAAAAGCCTTGCGTAATCATTGTGTTCACGCCGCGAGAGGTCCAGGCTTGCGCGAGGGACGCACCCATGTTCTGCGATGTGAAGTTCCGCATGCTCTGCCTCTCACGGGTCGACCCAGGGGCCCGCGGGTTACCGGCTGCTGCGGTCCCCGCGCCGCACGCTGAACGTCAGCGAGGCAGAGGTGTTCTACGTCCCTGCGTGGAGCCGCCAGGACTTGGGTGGCAAGCTCCACCTCGACTGCCCCGGCGTGGGGTTGCTGTGGGACACCATGGAGCAGCCCAAATCTCGACTCGGCTCCATTCGTAGATGCACGACGTTATGCCCTTCGCCAGCCTGGAGCGTATCCCCATCCCGAAGATTGGCACCGCATAGCTTCAGTGCCGATCGTAAAGATTCGCTTAGTTTCTGGGGGCACAGATTTACGATTGTCATCGCATTGGTCCTGTCGAGCTGGGGTGAGATCGAGGCTGGTGAGCCCTTGAGAGCTGGACCTGCCGATGGTCACGGGGTGATGCCCTCTTGGTCCGCGCACAGATTCTCGAGCGCGGCCTCTTTGTGGCATGTTGGAATGTGTCTTGCCATAGCTATTCTGACCGATCCTGGACCTATTTGGGATGCCCGGGGCCTTCGTGGAACTATTGCGCTCCGTTTCAAGACCCTGTCCAGGCCTCTTGGAAGGGGTTTGGCGAAGAGGGAGACGGGTTCCTGAGGAGGGAAGACGGATTTCGGGGGGAAGAGCTGACTTGCTGAAACACCTCTACGCCCAGAGGACTTTCGGGATAGATCCTCAGCGCTGTATGAGATTTCGCGTCGTGCCTCATCGGCACGTGGCATTTTCACGGTCATCCTCGATGTGGAGTTCCCCTTTCCCGTGGGATCCCGCCTCTTCCATGTTCTTGCTGCTTCCGTGGAATGTTTGCATCCGACCGCCACTACCATCTTTTTGTCATGAGGCACACCGAGTCGGGTCGAGCTTACGGCTGCTCGGCGATGATGAAAGAGAACCCGTTGTTGCAGGAGGCGTACCCCAAAGACGGGCGGGGTTTCTCGCTGCTCCACAGGCACATCCTAGTCGACCCGCGAACGGTATTCGTTTGCCCCCACATGGATTCACACGGCTGGCGCCGATTGGGCGACGCTTTCCGCACCCTGTGTCACCATGCGCCACCCCACGGCGCTCTTCGCCGACTCTGGTCTCTAAGTCCAGGCACAGGCTGTTTGCAGCTCTCGCGCGGGCCCAACTCTTTCCAGGGTAAGGTACCCGCCACCTCTTGGCCTCCGCAACAGGCAAACAGATGGAAGATACCCGCTTGTTGACAAGATGAGGGGCTTTGGGGGAATGTTCATGTCGATCGGGGGTTGACAATGCAGGGCTTAGGAACGGGTCTCCCACTGTTCTTAAACACATCGCGTGCCCATACCCGTATCACCTCCAGGCACGGGTAGGAGTGAGCACGCCTCATATGAACATGCCTCAGAATGCGCAGCTCGCCTCGGATGCCGACTGCTTAAATCCGCGTCTCTTCAAAGCCACGACTGGCGTCACCGGACAGGCTCTGGGACCCCCGCACCCCCGCCCCTCTCATGGCCCTCCGTGCGACACCGTGGGCCCATCCCCTGGTTAGGCCCCACAGGGCCTCCCCGGTGGGCCCCCTGGCCAGGCTCCGAGTCCCCTCCCTCGCCCGCCCCCCCCCCCTGGCGTCCCCCTCCCGCCCCCGCAGGAAGGCGAGGAAGGAGAAGTCAAGAAGCGCAATGGCGTTTGCTCAGCACGTGTGCGACTTGAAATGGGTCTGCGAGAGCGGAAGCCCCTCACTGAGACAAGGGTCTGCAGATTGCAAGAGCAGCTGCCATGGTAGGCCGCCGACGTCCCGGGGACAGTCTCCGACGCGTCCTTGCTCCAACGGGCAGCATCGATTTCTCTTCAAACCCTTGCCTCAGCGGTTTTGTTATTCCCGCCAAGAGTTTTTCTGCTCAACTACGTTCAGCCATCATGTCTCCAACACTTTCGGCGGGAGCCTCGTCTATGAGTGAACCGCGAGGAAGTCTCGAGCGGCAGCTCCCTCCTTATGGAGCCCGCACTTCATCTTACCATTCTGAGCGGGTCATCCTAAGTCTGTGCATGACATGATTTCGGGGCTCCTCCGGCCTGAATATGTAGGAAGTCTCGTGCGGGAGCCCCGTCTATGAGTGAATCGCGAGAAAGTCTCGAGCGGGAGCCCCTTCCTATGGGGCCCCCACCTCCACGTTCGAATCCGGGTGGGTCATGGGCTCACAGTGTGGTGATGAGCTCTGAACACGGAGGCTCCTAAGAGTTGCTGAGCGGCGGCCTAATCGGACGCATGGGGGGACCCTGGGGTCCAGGGCGCGGGTGGTAACCCATCCGCGCCCGAATCGGGCGCAGGGGGAAACCCTTGCCTCTGGGCTGAAGGTGGTAACCCATCCTCGGCCGAATGTTTGATTGCCTTGAAAAGAACCTGTCCGCGTGCTTGTGGGTAAGGGCCACTAACGCGGGGTTGTCCCACTGGCCTGGCCCGCGGGGTTGTCCCAACGGCTTCACGATCTGGCCACTGAAGAACGTGTCCGTGCTGGCCGAGGCGGCGACGGCGCCCAGGGAAACTCGACATGTGTGCCCCGACCAGGTGGGAGGGGACGTGCATGAGGAGAAGAGGCAGGAGCAGGACAATGAGACGGAGAAGGAGGATGAGGAGGAGAAGGAGGAGAAGGAGGAGGAACAACATAACAACCAGCGGAAACTCTTTGGTTGCCTTGTCCGAGATCGTCGTCATAATAATGCCATTTGCCTTCCTTCCCTCATGCTTCTTCTCCTCTTCCTCATTCTGGCCCTCCCCTGCGAATTCTTCACTAGATTTGTTTTTGATCTTTTTGCGGAGGCCTCTCCTTGGAGAGCTTCGTGGGGGCCTCACGAAAGTTTTGCCAGGTTTCTTGGGGAGGCCTCCTGGGCGCCTTCTGGGGGCCTCTTGGGGCTTCCTCGAGTCATCCTGCTTCCGACTGCGGTTTCCCTGAAGGACCTGGTCACGATTTGGATTGCGTCGGGAGTCGCTTTGGGGCCATCTTGGGTCGTCATGGGGCTCTCTTCGGGTCATCTTGGAGCCCTGTTGGGCCTCTGGGGGTTTCTTGGACTGCCTGGAGGCCCGTTCGTTTGTTTTGACGTGGTTTTCGGGGCTCTTTGGACGGTTTCGGGTAAACCGATGAATGGAGCAGTCACCAAATCATGCAAACACCATTGGAAATCAATGTTTTCCTGTATTTCGGACGCTCTTTGGGGGTTTTCTTTGGGTCGTCTTCGGGCGTCTGGTGGTTTTTTGGGTCCTCTTGGGGCCCTCGGGGGGCTATTCGGCCGCCCTCCTGACCGATTCGGGCCCGCTGCCTGGGCCCAACAGGGGCATCCAGGGGCTTCAAAAGCCCGGTCAACCTACTGCAGGGGTGTCTAGGGGGCCCCCGGGGCCAGAGATCCGGGGGGTCCCGTTTAGTGAAAGGGGCTCGCAGGTTTCCAGGCTGTTTTTACACCAGAGGAAAAACCCTAATCAGCCGATGGTTTGGAATTCGTGATATGGATATTCAGATCGATTGCGAGATCCTATCGTGAAGTCGATTCAGTGAGATCGATCGTGAGATCGATGGTGAGATCGCTCGTGCGATCTACAGTCGGATCGATTGTGAGATCAATAGAAAGTTGGGTAGTGAGATCGATGGTGAGACCGATCGATGAGGAGATCGACTAAGAACCCAGAAACCCGGGAACCCTCCCAATCGGTCCGGAACCAGCAACCGGGAACCCTGGAACCCGGAACTAGGAACTCGAGAACCCGGTCGCCTACCGAATCTTTGCCCGGCATTTTCGCCAAATCTTTCAATTTCCGCCAGGACCCCTTCATTGCGAGCGTTGATAGGGGAAGTTGTGTTAAAACACAAGAGCTGTTTGGCGTCGCGGCAATGCGCGCAGCGGCGCGTTGTAAAAAGTCGGGCGAAGAGACGCGCGCGTCGAGCCCAGATCACGCGGCGTGGAGGTACAGCGTCCGCTAACGGGGGATGCACAGCATCATTCGCGAGGGGGCAGTCGCGAGGGGAGAGGCGGGGAAGCGAGGGGAGCGGGGGAGGGAGGGGAGCTGCATCGAACGGTGCGCAGTCCAGGCTAAGAGGAGGAGGAGGCGCAGTCACGGCCCGCAGCGGCGGATCACGGAAGGGCGAGGCAACGGGCAACCCACATCCGCGGAACAGCAATGGTGCGCGTGCGCGTCCAGGAGCGCCCGAGCCCCCAGAGACCGCTTGGGGTCCCGCAGCAGCCAGCCGCCAGAAGTCATCTGGGCGTAGGTGACGTGTGGAGCTGGCACACACCCGCGCACACAAACACACACAGACACACAGACACACAGACACACACACACACATACACACCTCAGTTTTTCATGCTGTTCATCCGCAACATCCTGCTTCTCCTGCTTCGGGCAAGCGTCTCCGCCAAGGCTCCTCCCTCGCGTCCCGCTCCTACATCGCAAGGTTCTGATATACCGAGCAGCCCCTTAAAGCGGGATCGGCAGATTTTTCTATTCGACACGCGCGAATTTCGAAGGGTCCTGGTTTCCAATACATGTCCAAGTTCACGCTGGAAGAGCACTACCACACGCGCAAGAAATGGTACGCTTTCCCGTATCCCTCGTTCTACCACGGGCGGATGGCCCTGGCGCCTGCGAGGACCCGTCCTCGAGGTCACGCGGAGTACCTCTGGCAGTTCAACGCAGGTTTCCATGGTTGGGCACAGAATGTCAGGATCCTCCAGGTCGGGCGGAGGAGGGAGGAGAGGAGGGAGTGTGAGGAACAACAGGAGGAAAAGATGGACGAAGAGGTGGGAGGGAGGATGAGGATTGAGGGGGGAAGAAGGAAGAGGAGGAGGAGGAAGGGGAGGAGGACGAAGAGGAGGAGGAGGAGGAAGGGGAGGAGGACGAAGAGGAGGAGGAGGAGGAGGAGGAGGAGGAAGAAAGGCGCCACTCAGGATCGGGGGCTGGGGGCCGCGCGGCCCCCTCACCGGGCGCCTTCAAACAACAGGGCAGCGGCTTGCGGAATGCCATGGCACTTATTACTTTGTCAGCGTCGGCAGCCCGCCAAGCTATCATGCTTGCGCCGATCAACCCGCAGAGCACCAACAAGGACAGGGGCCGCGACGTCATCGAGGAACTATATACCTTTGATGCCGTGGGATTGCTAGGGACGCAAAAGAGATCGTCAGGAGCGCTGATTGAGATTCCTCGGAGGCTTGACAATCATTGGCGCATCGATTGCGGATTTGCAAGTGGAGCTCGCACAAACAAAAGTTGTGGTCTCACGCGTTAGCTTCGTCGACGTTTTGTAAGTATGTCATGCGTAAAAGGTTCCACCCAGACTCCGAATAACCAGCGAGGGAGATGTGGTGGAGAAAAGCTTGAGCGCGGAAGTCTCTTTCCTCCCAACTTCGAGGCCCTAGACATTTGCAGTGGGAGGCGACGAACGATACAATGCCGCGATGGCTCGAGCGCGCGGTGGAAACAGTCTTTGCGAGGTGGGCACTGGTCATCACTAGTGATGTGAATGGGAAGTTCTCGGCAGTCGCTTGTTTTCCAGATGTTCACTGCTGCGGAGGGAGAATGGAGCTACGCCGCTCAGAACCTCGCGGCTCTGCTGAAGACGCATGACTTGTGTGTTATGAACTCTACGTGGCTAGCTGGTGATACATGCTAGGGTAATTCACAGACATCCAAAGTGAAGGGCATCATTGTTACCCCCACCAGCGGGCGCCCGAAGTCCGTTGGTGCCGCGTCATGCGGTGCAGCGCTTGGCGACTTCAGGCGCGCAGTCAAAGCGAGATGTGAGGCCACGCTCCAGCCGGGATCGCACTGCCATATCATGCGATTGCTGACCCATGTCAGAGTAAGCCAGATACTATCTTATCGGGCGGGGAGATGTCGACGATGCTGCAGCGAGGGTGCAGACGCACGGAGTTTCTGCCGAAACTCGAGGGATCGCCGTGCGATAGAGTGGCTTCGCTGCCATCAAACCTCGCGGCTGACGAGGCCAACGGAGTTTTCGTGCAATCACTTCGGGAAGCAGGCGAGGCGCAGTGCCCTCGCTCTCCGTTGTAGACACAAGATCCTTCTAGGCATGTTCGCGAAGTGTCTGACCTTCTGCAGCGACGCCGCGACGTCCGTGCGCAGTTTTCTCTGATGGGGTGCTCGGAGGACTTGGAGGGGGTGGAACTTAGATTGGCGCCGGAATTGAGGAGGGCGGGCAGGTGGCAAAGACGCCGCAACAGGGCCTGGGAGCGGACGAGGCAAGATCGGCGCGAGGCTTTCAACGAGGGCGCTGAGCGGCGCGACGGGCGCAGCAGCCATCGCCTAGCGAAGTTGATCGCGCAGGCGACGAAGGGAGGGGGAAAGTGGGCGCGCGCGGGGGGATCAGGGGGGGGGGCGCGAGTGGGGGGAGGAGATGGAACTCCCAGGGCCCGAAGGCAGATGTTCCGCTTGGGCCGCGACTCTTGCCCATCTCAGCGCGGCGCGAGGGCCCCCCGGAGTTCCACTGGCTGTCGAGGCCGAAGACGTCGATGGGGGGCTGGGGGGGGGGGGGGGGGGCTACGCGAGGCTGCCTGGTAGGATCGTCTTTCGAAGGCTACCTCGCGCCGTGGAGCTGCCCGATAGAACTCCCCAGAGTAGCTGTCTTCCCGAGGTGGATCAACCCCCGAGCAGAGGAAATGAGGCGCGGGATCGGGCGCATCTTGGACGTCGCTAACCTCATCTCCCCGAAGTTCTACAATCTCTCTCTCTCTCTCTCTCTCTCTCTCTCTCTCTCTCTCTCTCTCTCTCTCTTCCCCTCTCTCTCTCATCCTGATGGGCGCCAGAATGTGCAATGAGCTACCACTTGACTGGTCGCGCGCGGTTGCAGCTCGCATCGGGGGCGGGGGCCGGCGAGGAGGGGGGTGAAGGGGGGGCGCAGTTGTGGTGCGTTCTTGGGCAAGGTATTTCATCGTGGAGTTCTTCAGCGAGCTCTTAAATATCCTATTCCTGCTTGGGCACATGGGGCGCTGAGCAAGGGGGGGGGTGGGGTGGGGAGGGGGGGGGGGGCGATCGCGGCGCAGAGCTGCTCCGCCTGGCGAGTGGAGAAGCTAGGCGTTTCGCAGCCGCGCCGTTTCCATGGCGCGATTAACGCATTTTATTTGGCAGAGACAGGTTGCCTCCACGCGGCGGCGGCGCGATTTTTGCACCCGGGCGACGCCCCGCCCATGCTGGGCCGCGTCAAGTATAGAAATTTCGCATTCACAGGAGGGGGGGGGGGGCGTCGCGCTTGCCATGGGGGAGGAGCGCGTGCCAGGCGGCCCGATCGTTGCGCATCTGTTTGTCAAAGTGCACGCGCTACGCTTGCGCCGCGGGCGAGTTGGATCTGCGCTGGGCCCCCGCTTGGTGAGCGCGAAGTCGAGCAGGCGGCCGTTAGTATTTTTGTCGATGATCATGGCGGCGCAATTCCGTTCCGGAGCTTAGAGGGGGGCAGAGATATAGCGAGGGGCAGAACCAGAGTGTCCCGAACGCGTTCGACACCATCGGGCTCGCCCAGAATCTAGATGAGCTGGAATCCACCCCCCGCTTGAGTGGCAGATGGGGCCTGTCCGAACGAGCAGATTTTAATTCGACCCAATCGGCTGCCCCGTCGAACACTCGCGTTCGCTGGTTACCTGGGCGCCCGCTTGTCAGCCAGATGTGCAGCGGGAGTGGACGGCCAGTCTAGATTGACGTCTGGGAAAGAGGTTTTGGGCGAGGATGGGAAGTTGTCGGGCGAGTCAAGTGAAGTTTAAGTGGCGCCCTACGATATTTAAGGAATGCGTCGTCAAAGCCGTGCTGTCTGGCATCGAGAGCCCTGCGCGCTCGAATGGCCCGCTGCTGGACAGCGATCTCGCCCCGCTCGAAAGTTTTCTCGCTCGCCGTTGTCGGGTGGCCCTCAGAGGCGCGGCAGCGACTCCGCGCGCGGGGGGCAGCTGAAGTGTAGACAGCGTGGGCGTGCTAGCGAAGTTCTGCATTGAAGCAGTTGTTATTGGATGCGGAGTGCGCTGGTTGGTTTGGCCTCAGTCTTAACTGCGGCGCCCGCTCGAAGGGGCTCGGGCGCCGGCAGCGGCGTTCGGGGGCGCAAAGGCGCAGGCGCGCGCGCGGGGGGGGGGTCGGAACAGGCGGGTTTTCAGCGCGACAGTGGTTGCGCGGGTTTTTTTTGCGCTGGAATGTTTCGACGACGGCGCAGCTCATTTGTTTGGAAAGGCACGATTGGCGCGCGCTAGCTTTTGATCGCGGAGGGGGGGGGATTTGATTTATTCAGCTCGGCTCGCGAGGTCTCGAGTCGCAGCATTGGACGCGTCGTAGCGAATACGAACGACGACGACGGGTGCAAGGAGGGAGAGCAGGACGCGGGGGCAGTTTAGATGTTGGGCGAAGATCGATGACGGCACGGGATGCACGGCATGCTTTCACACGCGTGCTCTACTTATTTAGCACTACGTACACATGAAGGGTGGTGAGCATGGGGCCCAAATATTAGGACGCGTCGCTTGTGTAAGCAGCCAGCGCGTTGTCGGTTTCAGATTCACGACGTAGCCACAAGCCCAGAAGCACCTCGCTGTTGCGCTACATTATCACGTCTGCAAGGCACGAGGCCGATCTGGGAACGTCGGTGCCCAAATTGAACCACTGCCGTCTCTGTGAGTTTGGCTAATGGGATCCAGCGGCGCTGCGCCTTCGCATTTGCAGCGCCCATCTCAGGCCGGGCCTCGACCAGCGCATAATTTATGTCGGCTTTCAGATTGGCGACGAGGTTGAGATCCGCTCGAAGGCGCCCCTGACTGACGTCGCGGCCCTCCCGACAGGCCACCGCGAGGACGGTCGGCAGCCGCCGCAGGCGGCCAAGAAGGAGGAGTCGAGGGAGTCAGCTTAGCGCAAGTTGCATTTTCAAGTCGAAAGCCGCGCGAGGAGCCTCGAGCACGGCAGCGCAGCCCAGACATATCTGCGCAAGGGCCATGCATGAGTGGAGACGGGGACGGTGGAATGCAACAAATATTTAGCGGAGGCGAAGAAGAAGGGGAAAGGGCTCGACCTGGGCCCTCCAGAACTCCATGTATTTGGGGCGTATCTTTTAGGTATCGGCAGCGTCTTGATCAGGGGGATTGCCCTCTGGAGGTCCGCAAGCGCAGGGGCGCCGGCGCGAGGATCCGCGCGATGATCGAAGAAGGGCGCCCCCGAGGACGCATCGATGTGGATCAAAGAGCGCGGTTTCTTGAACGCGTTCGAGTCGAAGGTGATGGGGCTCACTTTGCGTTTCCGGTGTCACGTGTTCGCGGCAAGGGGCGCCAAGGCCGCTCAGGGGCTCAACGAGCAGCAGGCCGACGCGCGGGGAGGGGTGCTGACAGATCCCCAGTGGGAAAAAGTATTTCAGAGGAGCCCGATGGAGTTGCCCGCAATCGAGAACCATATGCCTGTGGAGATCAATATGGTTTTTGTGATTATTTGGAGGGCGGCGGGAGGGGCTGGAAGCTGGGCGGTGCTCCAAGGGGCGCGCTCGCCGAGGACCTCGGGGGCAAGTCATTGCGTTGCATAGTGGTGGCCCTGCTCTTCCCCGCCCGCCCCTTCCTGGATTGCGAAATCAGCTTCCAACGCGAAAGTTCTTCAACGCGTTAAATTCGCGTCCTGGGGAAAGTGCCCTGGCCAGCTCGGGCGCGTTCGCTCGCGAGCGTTGCCCGCAGAACTACAGCTGCCAAACAGTGGGCACTGAGCCCAGCAGAGCACGGCGACAGCGAGACCGTGGGTCTGCAGCGCGGGGCGACCCGCGCGGGCAACAAAACGCCGGGGGGGGGGGGGGTCGCACGACGGAGGGGCACAAAGAGCTTGAAAACCCAGGTGCCAGGCGGCCCGAAAAGGGAGAAGCCTGGACAGAGACCCGGAGGCCTCGGCGGCCCCGTGGGCCAGAGGCCGCGGCGCAGATCAGTCCGAGCCTGAATCCGAGGAAACCTCGACAGGAACGCCACCAGCGGCTCGGACTAGCCTGTTAAATTTGGCTTGGAAACTAACAGCACGCGTGCGTGGTCTGGGCGGGGTGATCACGGGGGCCTCGTCCTCTTCGAGGGCGTGGCTCGCACCGACACTCATCTCGCCCGATTACCCTGGAGCAGGTCCAGCAGCGACCATGCTCGGCACAAGCGGGCGAGGTGCCCTAGCCCCGTCTCTCTCGCCATGCCCTCGCCAGGGCTCGAAAAGAACATGGCAGCCTCCTAGATCTGGAAGGGGAGGGGTCACTCCATGCCTTCGACCGTCCTCGGCTGGGGCCGAAACAGTAGCTGACGAGGCCGCTGGTCCAGGCTGAGCCTGCGCGGCAACTGTCGCGTCAGCAAACGCGTCCGTCGGCGGAGCAGCAACAGGAATCTGATCAGACACGTCGCCACACGTTGCTCCTCCATCGGCGGCCGCTCGCGGGGGGGCAATCAACATAAACGCGGACAGGCGACTTGCAGCGCTGCGGGAAAATGCCAGGTAGCAAGTTCTTCCATGTAGATCTAAGGCGAGAGTCCATGGACCCAGGGCCAGGGCAGCGTTTCAAAAACAGGTTAGACTTGAGCGGGGAACCCGTCGGAATCATCGCCATCCTATGAACGCAACCATACAAAGTGGAGAACTCAGAGCAAGCCAGACCGACACTCGAATGTATGTAGGTCTTGACTTCGTTGAAATCACAGCCTCCGGGAGGACCAGAGCACTTCCTGGGAGGAGGGATGGGCCTAGCTCCAAACCTGAAGGCAAAATCTGCCCTGAAGGCCCTGACGCAAATAGTGCACCTCCATGCAGAACCTACCTATCCTGGCGAAGGAGCACATGTCTGGAACAGCACTAGTCTTGGAAACCTCGGCCTTCTCATACTCTACCTCGCCATAGTTTTCAAGCGAGGGAAAGTGGGGAAGCAATGTGAGCGCCAACTTGCAAAAAAACACTTGTGTATCTAATGCGGAGATCAGTCTCTGCGAGAACATCATAATCCTTCGGGTGCAAATCGAACGCGGCCTTCGCACCGAGGTCAGCAAGAAAGTTACCAGTCCTGCGGTAGGTCTTTGCCTCATCTACAAACGCAACTGTGCCTTGATCTTAGCAGCACCTACGAGAAATAAGTGTGCGACGTCAGCCCTAGCCTGCACAATGTGCCCAGCGTAGGCCTTCCGAAAATGAGCGTGCACATCCTTGGCGGCGTTATAAGCTGCAACGGCATTGGCGCAAACAGAAAAAAATGATTGCTGCTGGGGCCAGTGTGGCTCCGGTGGGGCTGGGGGTGGGGGGTTGGGCCGTCGGGTCTGTCTTGATGGGCCACCTCCATGCGAGCAGCAGGCTTTCCGACCGAGGTCAGTCGTGCTGTGTCGCGGTTCTTCGGTGACGCTGATCTGTAAATTTTGATCTGCCGACTTGCAGGCGTGCCTAGAGCATCCAGGTTGACATTGTTGAGCTATGTTTGAATGGGAGAGCGAAGTGAAGGAGGAGGAGGAGGATGAGGACGAGGAAAAGGAGGAGGAAGAGGAAAAGGAGGAGGAGAAGGAGGAGGAGGAGGAGGAAGAGGAGAAGGAGGAGGAGGAGGGGGAGGAGGAGGAGGAGGAGGGGGAGGAGGACAGCGCAGAATTAGGAGAACGCTGTCGTGGGAGTGCGGCAACTCGTCCAAGTGCGCCCCGAGATCCGCCCTGAAGACGGACACCGGCGACCTGAGGCCCCCCGGGATCAACACTTCTCAGGTCGTGAACGCCATGTTGCGATCGACATACTGCGCGCACCCGCCGGGGGACACGCCCTCCCGCAAGGGCATCATCGACTCCATCGTGATGGGCCGGGCGGTCCCAAACTTGGCTCCATCCCACCCTGATAGGAGAATTGCATGGCCTTTCGGGTCATCCTCTCAGGCAGGGGTGGGGAAGTGATGATGGGGCGAACCTAAGGTGTGAGATGCAGGAGGCTGGCATTCCATGACGTCCAGGAGGTAACATGGATGGGGGATAGGCCATCCTCCCCGATTTTACATCTAAATGTCCTCCTGTGCTAATCATTTCTGATCATCCGCTTCGTCGTAATATTCCTCCTCGTCCTTCCTCTCCTCCCCTCCTGTCCTCCTCCGCTCGTGTGTGTGTTTCGAGGGTCCTCAGAGAGACTCAGGTGGGGGTGGGACCAGCACCCCGCGTGAGCCGTTGATCCAATCGGGTCAAGCTGTGGACTGCCCTCAGGCTGCGTTCCCGTCCTCTTCATAGAGGCCCAGATGGACTTGTGGAGGGCGCACTTCACGAAGGCCAGGAGGACTCTCGAGCGCTGTCCAGTGGCAGTGTCCAGGCACCCGCTTTTTGTTTCCCATTCCGCACCATCTTTGGTTGAGAGCCCCACGAACGATGGGCAACCCATGGTCAAGCGACGTCCGAGGTCGGCAGCTCGCGGCCATGTTGCTGCGAGGCACGGTGGAGGCATTGGATATGGATTGACAGGGCGCGCCTTTTGGTGGTGAAATTACTGTTGCGATTTATTTCCGAGCGCCCCAAGAAATCATCGAGAGACCTGCAGTGAGTACCCGAGAGTGACCAAATAGTGGAAAACACTTCTCCACAATGGATCCTCCTTGAAAGGGGTTTCTTTTAATCTAGTTTTGAGGAAGGGCCCACAGAGCCTCCGAACAGGGCCATTGAGCGCCCCAGGAGCCCCAAAGAGGGCCCCGAGAAGTCCCCAAGAGGGCCGAAGATGCGCCCACGAGGGTCGCACGAGGCCCCGAGAGGCTCCCGGTAGAGTCTCACGAGCCAAAGGCGGACCAAGAGGGTTCCAATATGTCTCCGAAACACCCCGCGAGGACTTCAAGAAGCGCCCCCTCAAGATGGGCCCGAGATCGGCGTCACCCCAAGATACTAATACTATCTCTGCGTCGCCCCCCCCCCCAGGGGACGAAGGGCTCGCCAAGAAATCTTGTAGTATCAGCTCATGGGCGGGCGTTTCCTGGCCATACCACTCGGGAAACGATACGCTACAATCTGCTTGTACCATGTGTCCGGGCCAGGCGCACGCATCCAAGGAGGAAAGATAGCTCTAGTATGTCATTGTGCGTCCCACAAGAAGCTCCAAAGTCACTGCAATGCCCGATGCGTCTCATTGCCTTTTCGTCTCCAATGGGTTCTCTCGCGAGGGGGCGGCGCGTCGCGTTCCTGTCGAGCCCTGATCGATCCCGCGTGTCAGGCCCCGCGCAGTCCTCCCTCTGCCAACGGGGCCAGTGGTCTCAGGCCATCCATCGGCCGCAGGGCCGTGGATCCCTTGGACAGCGACTCCTCGTCCGATGCCCCCGCTGTGGACCCCCCCCCGCTCACCTGCCCCCCCCCGCCTCTGCCTTCTCCT